TTTAATCAGCACCTGAAGCGCTAAATTATATAGAATATATAATTTTATTTTTGTTCAGTTTAATTAGTTCAGTATAACTACTTGAACAACTTTTCCATTATTTGTGTAGCTGTAAAATTTCACAAATATTTCCATTTATTAACATAAAGTATTTTCAACATGCTGTAGCCTACATCACGTGACAAGTAACATTTAGGCATATTTTAACCGACTTCAAAAGGAGAATGTTATCATTTCTGCTGCATTTTTTTAGATTTGTGCTGTGTTAACCCTCGACAATTAGAGCTATCGACGTTTTAGTATACTTAGATATACCTACATATGATGGTGATACTAGCACGTGTCAATCGTTAGGTACATACATTTATTATATTACTAGTGGCCCGTCCCGACGTTGCGCGGATGCATTACAAATATTTAAATTCCTCGGCTTGTTCTATACTATAACATCCATATATACATATAAACCTTCCTCTCGAATTACTCTATCTATTGCTAAAAATTTTATTAAAATCTGTTGAATAATATAAGAGACATGTAAATTGGACGTAAAATCTAAAATAGATGCTTTCGAGATGTGGTGTTGGCGCAAAATGTTAGGAATTTCATGGACGGGGCGCTGCTCTAATGCATCTATTAAAATATAGATGTAGAATGAATTTAAAAAATATGTAAGTATTTTTTGGTAATACATAATGTATTAGTTAGTGAAATTTTCTCTCTTCCACATAATTTCTTAGTGCTTTGTTGTAATTTATACAAAACTAGGTGTATCTGCGTCTTCATTCGCGTGAAATTTAACAAACAAGTTAATTAGAGAATTTTTCTAAATTAACAGTAAATAGCTGATGTAATAAGGAGTAACTTAGGTTAAGTTACTCCTTATTACACCAGCTATCTGCGAATAAAAGACCCGTCAAAATCGGTTAAGCCATTTCTGAGATTAGCCAAACCAAACACACAGACAGACAAAATAAAAAAAATAATGTTATTTTGGTGTATGTACCGTATTTATATTCATATGCATGTAGTAAAAAACGGTTATATCAATATTACAAATTACAATTTTATTTATATTTATAGATTATTAAGCTTTCTATTTCCAACTTAGTATCAGATGACCTATTGTGTTTAAAAAAAATGAAGATCCGGGGCTGAAAAAATGCCGATATTACCGTATCTGCCGTATATTCTGCACTACATTTAACTGCGTCACACATAAATCGTTAAAATTACCAGGCCACGATGCATGACCGATGTTTGCTTATGCATATACGATTATGCTTACAGTCTGTGTGTACGAGGTCTTATGAATAAACCGTGAAAGACATGTTGTATGGTTCACAGTAATTAATATGTTTGTTTATTCTCTGAAGAATTTTGTGCAAATAGTAAAATTCATCACAACATCGACCGTATAGCTACAACCTATCTGAGAATACAGTTCTCAGTCATGTATTTATATTACTAATATTGTATATAACATTATAATTATATTACTATCATCCAAGTGTAGGCCAATCGATCAACCCCTACAATGTACTGAATATTAAATAGTTTTAAGAACTATTTTATATATATGGAATTTAAAAAAAAATCCTATATTTAACATCCTAAAAGTATTTCCTATATTCTTTTTTATGGATGATAATGGAGTGGGGCGTCCGCCTGCGCTAACGGTATACGCTGGCGGAGCACCAGTGGAGGATGATAAGATAAGCATGAGGTCAGGTCAGTTAGCCCATCGTGATAAATTCACCAGGAATTTATCACGATAGTTTCCAGGGGCACCGCGTGGAGGTCAACCTGACATGGTACATTGCTAGCAATGGGGTCATGAGTCCATATTACCAACAATCCCCTTTCCCCCAATTTCCTATATTTATGTTCCTAAGTTCAGTAGTAGCCATATTATAAGTTCCGCTTAGTCTTCTCCGATCGATCCCCCGTTCAGTTCAAACGGGGATTGAAATTACAACGCCCTGAGTCGAGGTTTCAACCCCTGGCGGTGCCCTCAGACTAAAGTCGTATCCGTCAGGCGGAATTTGGTTTTTAGTCACTCTATAAGACCTTCCGTGGTGTTGGAGTGCCATCTGCACTGGCCTCCGTCGTCCGGTGAAGCTGTAAAGCTAGTTTTACTATATGTAAATATTATAACAAACGTATAAATTACTATTAGGAGTATCATAAATATAGAATACTAGTTTCTATAAATTTCAATAAAAAATATAGCTTATGTGTTATTTTGCTGCAAGCTATATTACTGTAAAGTTTCATCAAAATCCGTTCAGTAGTTTTTGCGTGAAAGAGTAACAAACATCCATCCATACTCACAAACTTTTGCGTTTATAATATTAATAAGATTTAGAGATGGACTAACAAACTGACCTAGTGAGCTATAAGACTCTCGTTTATCCTCTTTTGTTCAGAACTCTAAAATTATAGTTTTTTCATTTGGTATAATATTAGAAACATTTGTTTAGCATTGAATGTAAGAACAAGCCACATATGTATGTATTGTCAACAAAAGTGTGGTTTCATTGTCTTTCAGTATATACTAACACTCATTAGTAATGTTTGCATTAATTACCATATAGGTAATCAAGAATGTATAAATAGCAGGCCCTACACATTTTATCTGCATTGTTATTACGCATCGAGTTAGGTAGGGTTAATAATTTTGTTGTAATAATGCTGACATTTATTATATTTTTAGTACACACATTTGTATCAGGCTATTGTGAAAAATGTACATTATATCCACGAAATACGTTTGAAATTGCTAACGATGTATTTGAAGAGGTTAGTGATCAATTCAAAAATCTAATAGAGACCGAGATCGATAACAACACTATTGCCCAAATTGAATCACTGTACAAAGAATATAAAGCTGCATCAAACAATGAAGATATACATCTCAATATAACGCAGCTGATAAAAAAGTACGGCTATCCAGTGGAACAACATACTGTTAACAGCGAAGGATATTTACTTAACATATTCCGGATACCTAATGATGGTCCTCCCGTATTGTTAATGCATGGATTGCTTTGTAGTTCTGATGACTTTGTCACTCTAGGTCCAGAAAAATCATTAGCCTACTTGCTGGCTGACGCAGGTTATGATGTTTGGTTGGGAAATGCTCGAGGCAATAATCATTCAAGACGGCATGTTAGCTTGTCGCCATCTTGTGCAGAATTTTGGGACTTCAGTTTTGATGAAATTGGCCGCTACGATCTCCCGGCTACGATAGACTATATTTTAGATGCAACAAAGCAGGAAAAGCTACTATACGCTGGTCATTCGCAAGGTGCTACTTCCTACTTCGTGATGTGTTCAGAGAAGCCAGAATACAATGAGAAAATTAAACTGATGATCGCACTGTCAGCGGTGACATTTATGCGCCACGTGAAGAGTTTATTCTTTCAAATTTTTGCCCGAATAAATCAACTATCATCGGTGCTAGTAAAAATAATTGGTTTATATGAATTTGTACCAAGGAATCAATTGATGCAATTCCTCACGGATACGTTTTGCGGAACACCTGCATTGGCTACATTGGTATGCAATAATATTCTATTTGCATTATTTGGTTTTGATTATGCTCAAGTAAATGCAACTGCGTTACCAGTGGTTTTTGGTCACGTTCCCAGTGGAATTGCAACTAAACAATTTCTGCACTACACACAGTTGGTACATTCTGGAGATTTTAGGCAATATGACTATGGTGTAGGCAATCTTCAAAAATATGGTTCTATTGCACCGCCTGATTATCCCTTAGAGAAAGTAACTTCGCCTATTGCTATTTTCTATAGTAAGAATGATTGGCAAGCGCGCATTGAAGATATTGGAGTCTTAAAGGACATACTGCCAAATTTGGTGAAATTTATTACAGTGCCTTTTGACAAGTTTGCTCACGTTGATTTTCTTTATGCAAAAGATGTAAAGACACTCGTGTATGATGATGTTATGCAACTATTATATCAGTATGCATAAACTGATCAGAGTCATATGTTTCTATTAATCATAATTATAGTATATGAATAAAAAAAGCTGGTGTTTATTATTTTGTTGTAAAACATCATCATTTTCTGTATAGTAGTGAAATAAGAATGTGTTATAGTAACATTTTTCTTCATCAACAGGATGTTGGTGGTTAAGCGAAAATACTACATACGCCAAAATATTTACATTTGTTCATTTTCCTTTTTCACTGTGAAACGCAGATATGTCAACAGTAAATTTTACCATCACATCGACAGTTGAGAATACCTCTGACAACACCATCGAGTATGTTTGTTGCAACGTTATAGAAAGAAACAATAGATTCTTTTATTGTGTCATATATTAGAAGCGGTAATATTGATAAAATGTCATGTAGGTATAAAAAAGCAAGGTGAACTGATTAGTAATTAAAACACATACTTTTAATTAACACCTGTGTATACATACTGGTAACCTTGTGAATTTTGTGTTATTGTAGCTACAAAGATACAAATTAAAATATGTAATTAAAAACATCCATTCAAATTGTACATGCTTCTGAAGAAATTTCTATAACATTTACCGATGAAAAGTAAAATTTTGAAAGGAAATAGATATCATGAACATTAAATGTAATATAGCTGATGGCATTATCGCTAAAAGTGATATTCTATTTCAGCTAACCTTTGGATGTTTAGGCATAAATTTTAAGCAGTTTGGTCGGGGATATATAGGTAGGTGTAATACAATAAAAACGTAACTGGTTACGGCTGCTGGTGGTCACAACATTATCCCTAATTAAACTTAAAAAATGAGCCTGTACTTTTGTAATCATGTGTGCTTATTTGAAAAGAAGAAACGTTGGTCAGTTCTTCTTAGCTCGAAATCACTCCGAAATGATACTAGATTTGACATACCATAAGATTCTGTAATAGACATAGGTCTATAGGTCATAGCAAGAAACTTGCGTCTTGCTCTTTTAAATAATCTAGTTGAAACTTCCATGGATAACTAACCTGCAGTACACAATTTGGAGTCTTCGTCATACCCATCGATGCAATCAGGGGCTCCATCGCAGAGATACTGTATCGAGATACAGTTACCGTCCACAGGACACTTGAAGGGCTCGTATGGGTGACAGTATTCTGAAAAAAAAAATGCTTTATTAATAATAATAAATTTGGACAATTTACACAGCTCAGTCTAGTCTCAAGCTAAGATCTACTATGTATTTACAAAAAAAATGTATTTACATTTTTTTTGTAAATACATACATAATATACTAAAGACAATAATCATACCCATGAATACAAATGTTATACATGTTTATAGAATAATGGAAAGAACTGGCTTTCGAGTCTTATATATTTCAAAAGCGAGTGCTAAATGTATAACATTACATTGATATACCTATTTGTAAGTAATGATTAGTACTACAATTAATATAGATGATAATTGCGTTTACCATCAGGTAACACATTAGTTTGTTATACATTTCAGGTACACAAAAAAACTGATCAGCATTAAACTTAAAAGCATTTTCTTTAGTTAATGCTCTTAGGTATTAGACAAGTTAAGTTTAACGTTTTTATTTTATCACCTAGAAAAAAAAACTTTCCTTGAATAATGAACCTACTTAGGTATTATTAATGTGCAAAAGTTTTGCAGCTTTTGAACCTAAATTGGACTTACTTCAACAGAATATTTCGCGAGAGATACAAATTATGCTAGTAGCGGCGCAAATGGACGCAATTTAATTTCTTAAAAGCTCTTCTTACTAAAAATCGTAGAGTGGGGCGTCTGGGGAGAGAGGGGATGAAACCACCAGTCAGTCTACACGATATTACTTTTGAACAAATTGTCAGTAATAGCCTAATAACGTTATCAAGCCACATCTTAAGGTTGCAGACTTTATTAGTTACAGTCCTGATTCAGAAATTTATATATGTACTACCATAATAAAATAATAATAACCACGGACAATAATAATTATTATTTCATATATATGTTAGTATATAAGTTATTTATATTATAATATGGGCCATTAGTAGTCTGAAAGCCTGAATTAAATAAATATATATATTAAAAAAAATACACTGCCAGTCTTAATCTAGCACAGCTTGTGTTATAGATACTAGACAATTTAGATATAGATATACTTAAATACGTTTCTTTGTAACTACATATATAATATACCAATCATACAAAATAAGCGTACTTTTATACACATGTATAAATATTTGTATCGTGTGAGAAATTGAACCTGCAACCATCCGAAGATAAGCGGCGTGCTGTACCGTTGTATTAGCTACATTTTTCCCAATTAAATTTAAGCAATTGTCAGCTTTGTAATAAACCTATATGAAATGGAATATTCTGATTTGATTTAATTTCACTAACCTTTATCCTTTTATGACTGTGATTGGTTTTTGAGATAAAGGATAAAATGTCCGACTTTACAAATTTTTATGTAATATCTCATTTATATCTGATCAGTCGTTTAGTCGTGACAAGGTAATAAACAGACAAACTGATACTTTCAAATTTAGTGATTATTATTTCCAGGTAAAAGTAGGCAATACAAGCATTAAAGTTTCTGCTTGGGAATTGAAGAAGCAATCAAAAAACGGACTCCAAACTGTAGCAGGGGAGATCAAGGGACGCGATAGTTAAAGGTAAAACATTTCCAGCAGCAGACGAGCAATTAGTTGCTGATAATGTTTTTTGAACCTTCGGGTTTAAAGACTCCCCTGTGTAAAATTTGTGTAGATCACTAAGGGCGATGACATTCCCCATTCTATTTTAAGAACAGAATAGAAATTTCTCGAATGTGTATTAATCAGAGTTTGTACGTTGCCAGCGTGAATATTTGTTTTTCGGCTGAATGGTGAGATATTGCGGTGAATTTATCATGCTGGTTTCCTAGGGGAATTGCGTGGAGGTCAACCTAACAATGCTAGCAAGGGGCTCAATAGTCCACATTATTAACAATCCCCTTCTCCTTGGCTTAATATTGTGCTATATAATGTTATTTATCCGGAATGGTACATAAAGAGTACTACCGGTGACATATGATGTTCTAACATTCATGGTGACAGTTGCCTATCAGCTCATTTGCTATTCCAATTACGGGAATAAACATAATACAAATTGGACTAATACACATATTTTTCAACCCAAAACAAGAACCGAAACCAAAGGAATGATTTGGCCTGGTTAGCAAACCAAGAAAGTTTTCCTGATTTTAATCTTTTCTTAAGGATAAAAAAAGAATCCGATAATATGTGCCCGCCCTAAGTTATTTTTCATGGAATTGAGGAGTGATTAGATGGGATAATGTTATTACTCGGGCCTTATCCCGATTTCGCTTGTATTGGAGTTAATACCAATGAGACGGACTTTGTGAGCTGTTAAGGTAATTGGGAACGATGAGTCTCTCATTTATATTCTGTTCAGTGGGTGTCTTTGTGATTTGACCTTTTAGAAAAGTGGTTCAACAAAACAGAAACCGATCAGCATAAATTAACTATATCATGAGGGAAATTATTGATTTGGCTATTTGTTTTTTGGCGATTAATATTTTAATTGCATTGTCACCAACAAGCGTCTACAATATGATGTCAGTTGAGAAAATTTGAGAATTTGTCATATCAAAACAAATGACACAAGTAGGCTAGGCAGGTTCCCGCGCGCCTTCTCAAGAGAAGAAAGAGCATCCAAGAACCCTGGTTAATCACCCATAAACAAAGCAAAGGGGCCCGTACACTAAAGCGGGCCAATATAGCCGGAGTCTTGATGGCCTGTCACTCCGATCCTGTGATTTAGTGAGTAAGGGTCTAAGAGTATCTAGCTTGCCTCTCCCGGGGTCCCAAATGCCATAACTCCAAATAAAAAGAAATACGCCAACTACTGCAAAATTGAGTCTAACCGACATAGCCGAAAACTGCGTGTTTAGAAGCGCATTGTACTGAAATTTTGTGAGCAATTGGATGCTAACTCTGTATGTGGAGAGAACGTTTAATCGGATAAATAAATCTACAAATAATACGTAAAAAAAATCCTTTTGATGTATTTCGTTATAAAATATTATTTAATGTTTCCATTAGGATTATATAAACAATTTCATATATTCGCAAAGGACACACATTACCAATTGTAAATAATGATAAAACGATATAATTTACATAAAGGTAGTTGAAAGAGAACCATTTAAGGTAATTAATTACTGGATAAATACATTGCCCTTATTTCAGTGCTTTGAACTCGTATATCAAGAATTCAATTAAATCTGCAAATACCTACGCGTTAAAGTTTAGCCTCCAGGTTTAGCTTTTCAGTGAACGTATTTATATTACTGAATTATGTAGTGCCTACACAATCTGAAGAAATGTTAAAGTCCAGTGTTTATATTATTGTATCCCGCTATTTTATTTATATATTTTATTTTGGGCTACTAGGTTCATATTATAAATACCTTATATACTGATATACATATGCATTTATATTATAAAACTAATATATTGAAATTGACTGTGCTATGACCCAGCACTGGCGATGGTAATCTGCCATGTTAGCGCCGATATACCAAACCCTTCGGTCAGTAGTCCTCTTTCATGAATGTGGGTAGACTATATAATGAGGTGAGTCGAAGGTAGACTAAGAAGACAGACTAAATAATAATAATACTTTATGTTTCTTGATCTAGCAGTGTTTAAACTGGAGTCGTTTCCGAAGGATTTCAGTAGGTCCATAATTCCTTCCGTGGGTTTGGAGTACCTTCTGTACTTGCCCACTTTATTCGCTCTGTGAAGTTGTAAAGGCCTGTTTAGGCCAAGAGTACTATCATATAATGAATATTAATAGATTCTTAAGAATAAAACAAGCGCTAAATTGCTTTCAAAGACATCACTTTTTTATTACAATTATAATTATGAATCATCTGCAGAAAATTTCTATAACGAACATTCATGTGATTCTATTATATTAAAATGCAAAATCAATGTCAAGTCCATAAAATAACAAATTATTACGCTATTAAAATGGAATCAGTAAATGAACAATGAACTATGAAATTGAACATGCTGTACAAATTAATTCTTTTGTTTGTATATAACAAGCCGATGCGGTTTGCCTTCAATTGTGGATTTATTTATTCAGAAATCGATGTTCGTTATTTTTAAATCGAGTAGTATTTATCATTCAAGTGCACTCAGAGAAATGAGGTTATGTTTATCATGACGTTGATCGCTGGCAGGTCTTTTGACTATAGTAACAGTCCCAAAAATATACTTCTTATTTTAGTTATGGACATAGATAATAATCTGGAATCTATCTATATAATATATATAAGGTATTGATATCACCACGGCATGTGCCGACTTTCGGACTTCTAGCAGTCTTGCTGCTAGGTAGGTAGTCTCAAACTGAATACGTCAAGCAGGAGTTGGTCTTCAACCGCTCCACAAGTCATTCCACGGGCTTTGGAGTGCCCTCTGCACTCGCCTTAATTATCATCCGCTGAAGTTGTAAAGGCCAGCAACGAACGACAGCATTAGAATAGTTACTAATTGCAACGATCGTATACGGGGAAATGGGATTGCCAGTAATGTGAACTGTTCACCCCAGTGCTAGCAATGTACTATGTCAGGCTGACCTCCACGCGCTTTCTTCTGGTAACCATCATGATAAATTTTGAATTGGCCATCATGGCCTCATGTTTATCTTATCATCCTCCACCGGTGCCCCGCCAGCGCAGATGCTGCGCCATTTCATTATCATCCATTAAAAAATAACACGATGGTGTAAAATTACAAGGAAGATTGTGGCGCATCACAGCTTGCAACTCACCAGATCTTTTGGTATGGTGACCATAGAGCCGGTTGAGGTCCAGAGCGTAGACCGTATGAGGGAGGGCACAGCAGACCGCTGCCAACGCAGCAACGCAAGCCGCTGCACGGCACGACGCCATTACTGCAACAATTAAAAATACACTTTTATATTTGACGCGGTTATTATTTATACCTATAATTGCCATGTGGCTTGCCTTGAGACTTGTCCAGAATTGAATTGCAGTGAACTAATTATGATGATGATGACTAAGGTAGACTAAAGCTATACTTTGCTACAAATTCGATAGCACAGGTAACCAATTGTTGTCGCTAAGGATTCATGTAAGCTGTGTTTTTATTTGGAGGGTGAGATGGTATGATCATTATTATACATAGTATAAAATATAGTAGCTATCGCCGTCTGTCCGTCCCTATGTATGCTTAAATCTTTAAAACTACGCAAAGGATGACTCGGTTTTTTTAATAGATAGAGTGATTCTAGAGGAAGGTTTATATATATAATACATGTACAACCGTGCGATGCCGGGACGAGTCGCTAGCAATGTATATATCTTTGATTTTCACTCAGCCGTTAGATGTGTAATGGTGACCTACAGACAGACTGAAATATAGACAGCTTTAAATTTATATGATTAGTCAATGAATATGTAATAATAATCATTAGAAATATGAAAAATGAGTAGAATGTACAGACGCTATATTTAAAACGTGTAGGCGTAAGGTCCTTGTTTTTTTAAAGTCCCTTGTTTATTTGGGACCGAAGTTAATAAAAAGATATATTTGTAGGCAGCAACCTGTTTAATTAATGTCTTCGTTTAATTTGTTTTTCTGTTGAGATAATTTTATTTTCACTGATATTATTAAATGAGAGAGTAATTCTGCCCGTTTGTTATTTGTTAGCTACGTTTTTAGACTGCCGAACAGATATATTATTACATATAGAGACTGCTTCTTGTAGGAGGCATAGGTTACTTACATTCTATAGAATATATTTTTTTAAGAAGAATGATGAAACTTTTTTGTATTATAATTTAGCTAAATATATATTTCTTCATTTAGTTAAGACCACTATTCCATGAGGACGAAGTCGCGAACACAGTTAGTATTGAAATATATTCGATTTCAATATGATGAAAATAATGTTAGAAACAGCTTTACATAATCAATTCTTTATCAATAATTAAAAGTGAGAAGTTTCTGATTATTCTTTTTGAATCGATAGTATTTATCAAAACTTATAACAAAAACCGATCTCAATTTAAAAGAATTACTATAATAATTGTGTTTCCAACACAGTAATCTTAACAATATTCAGTTTCAACAAAGTATAATCGCAACAAAAAAATAAAAAAAAATTGAAGTAATTTTAAAAGAGAACTTGTTAACGAAATCTACTTGTCCCCATATTGAGTTTACCTAACACTATCGAGTTACGTTCAGAGAGTTATCAAAGGTTACGCTGGAATAAGGGCACACTTCAGGTTAAATCTGATACGGAGCAGCTTGAAATTCAGGCCAGCAACTCGATACACCTTTTCGTTGTGAGATCTCAAAGACTTTTGGGATATTTTTCAATAGCCCTTTTCATCTTAAACAAGTATACATTTTATTTCAGGTGTACGGTGAAATATCACATTAACTGTCATTGAAGGTCAAATATGTAGGGTAAGAAGGCATAACATCTTAGTTTTAGCAACACGTAAGTTTCTTGTTTGTTTTTCTTATTAGTCAGCGTTCTGAATGATTAGGATAAAAGAAAGTCACTAATCAAAAGTGTTTATAAGTTTATTTCCCTTTTCTCGAAACACGACATGAGCTATACAATGGTGATAACATGATAACGTGATATTCGTAGTGCTGTTCAAGAGTACTGGCGACGAATGCTACTTAAAATTATGTGGGCCATCAGTTAAGTTAAGCTAAGATCTTAAAAAAATTGATAAAACTGCAGCTTGTACAAATTTATGACAAATTTATGACACATTTATGTCACATTAACTTGCATATTAAGCATAAGATTGATAGTAATAGCTTTACTGTTAACACCAGGTAACTGCTAGTTTAGTATAATTTTAAGAACCTGTCATAATACAGTGCCATCGTAACAGTAGAGTTGCTGAAAAACGTATTACATTTGTTCATTATCTCATAAATAACTTTATGAAATAAATAAAATAAGCTACAAAAGACGAACATAATACTCTTAATATTATCTACTAAGGGTTTGGGAAGAACAATTATTCTTTATTTTTAAATCTGCCTTCGTCTAAATTATACTGACACCGCCTTAATATCTGAGCCTATTACTGCCCCCGTGCTAAGGCTTTCAGCACTTACATAAGGGCGTTATCTATCACCCACTATGAGCTTTAATATAAATCCTTATTACGAATTAGGAAATGTGAAAAATAAGCAAGACATTGTTATTATAATATTAATAATATCTACAGAACAATTCACACAGCGCCATCTGGTCCCAAGCTAAGCTAGATATCTGATATACATATAGATATAAATATAATAATAATAATAATGACAATTAACACAGACGTACTGGTGTTATATATGTGATATACATATATAGAGACATTTTTTTTTATAAATATAATAGTAATAATAATAACTCTGGACAATTAACACAGCGCCATCTAGTCCCATGTTAAGCAGAGCTTGTGTTATGGGCACTAGACAACTGATAATTTCCTTACATACTTTTGTTTATAAATATATACATAATATACGTAGATAATACCCAGACAGATACAAACAATCAAACTCATGAATACAAATGTTTTCACCGTGCGAGGAATCGAATCCGCGACCATCGAAAGTAAAGCGATGTGCTGAACCGCTAGACCATCTAGGCTGCTAAATATACAATATAAAATACATAGAAAACACCCAGACAGATACAAACAATCATACTAATGAATACAAACGTGTGCTAAACCGGCGGCGTGCTAAGCTAGAACACCGTCGCTGTTAGTTCATTAGTGCCCATAACAGAAGCTTGTTAAGCTTGAGGCTATAGTCGGTTTTTTAATTTCTATAACGAGGTAGCGCTGTACCTGCGATACCGAGTTGTTAAATCGGGAATTTTTATTTTAACATATTAATTTTAAAACTTTACATGACGTTTCCATAATATATTTTTAAAACATATAGTTGAATACAACATAAAAATATATTTTTGTGGATTCCATATATATAATATTTTTGTTTTGAATATTAATCTACAATTTTTTTATTTCAAAAGCTAAATATATTAAATAGATGTATATTTTTGATATGTGACACCATACGAAGGTCAATTATTTCATAAAAAAGGCAGTTCGTCTTTATGATTGTGAAAAATAAAAAAAAACCTATGCTGTATTAATTTTGTGATAATGTGTTTTAAATAAACACCCACACATTATTTCTGAGTAACACATAAAAATGGGTAATTAATACTAATTTCTGATAATGCCACTACCCTATTTAAAATTGCAATAACCTGGCAACATCGGTAATCTCAACTTTCTCTTCGGGATTACAAAACAGACTATAGATGGCGCTGTGTGAATTAATAGAAAGATAAAAAATCATGGGTAATATTTAATTCTATTCAAAAAGCTATATCTGGCTATTATAATATATAGTTGTTTTATAGTACATTCTTGTATATACTTCAATTCTGTCTTGTCAATAGTTTCCTAATATACATGTATCTCTGTATACCTAATCGTTTCCTATCATTTCACCTATACACATATAAAATACAACTACAAAATAATAATAATAATCTCAAGACAATACACACAGCGCCATCTAGACCCAAGTAAAGCTAGCTAAAGCTTGTGTTATGGGTACTAGACAACTGATACAAATACATAGATTTTTTTTTCGTAAATACATACATATTATACATAGAAAACACCCAGACCGACACAAACAATCATACTCATGAATACAAATGTTTGTGCCGTGCGAGGAATTGAACCCGCGACCATCGGACGTAAAGCGGTGTGCTAAACCACTAGACCACCTTGGTCGTCGAATATGTTAATACAAAGTTAATTGCATCTACATGAAGATGTTAACTAATATGGGTTTCTTACCCTGGAAACTTGTTGCATGTACAGATTCAGCAAGCACGAAGTTTTAATTAGTTCAAACTAGGGTAGAAAGTACAGAAGCGTGTCAGTTGAAAACTATATTTACCATTAATTAGTGCTTTTACTCATAATTAATTTTGCATTAGCTCTGAATATTAAATAGGTAGTTAAAATTTATACGTAGACTAAAGAAAGCATTTTTAATATATAGGGGGTAGACGAGCTTAAAATAACACAGCGCAAAAAAAAAATCATTCAACATGAATGATTTTTTTTTGCGCTGTCACATTTTATAAAAAAAAATCATTCAACATGAATGATCTATTTATATATTTCTCGTGTCACAATAATATATATAATAATAATAATATATTTTATTGCCCTGATTTCAAATACAGTTATTCTCTGTGTATACATTTTTGTAAATCTATCTTATATATAAAATTCTCGTGTCACAATGTTGGTTACCATACTCCTCAGAAACGACCTGACCAATTTTTGTGAAATTTTATATACTACTATATTCAGTAGGTCTGTGAATGGGCTGCTATATATTTTCATAACCCTAAGTGATAAGGGTTGTCCACCATTTAATTTAATTTTTTGCACAATTTTTTTTCTAATTTGTCTTTAAAATATATACAACCCCAAATTTTCACTCTTCTACCATCAACCCCTATTTTTTAATATCGATTTTACCATATATGTATATATAACTATATTTTCCGTATGGCGTGACACTGATCCGTCTGTGTCGCTTATCTTTGACCTCTTTCCTTAACAATCTCGTTACCAAAAAACATCTCTTTTACAGCAGTTGTTCAACTTTTTATTTGTTTTCGTTTACGAATTCCTATGTATACCTAACCGAACTTTTGATAGAAGTTACGTAAAACAAAACAATCTTGTAAACATTATTAAATTAAATATTTACACCTGTAGACAGAAATATTCACTAGAGAGAAATATATAATGAAAATACGCGAAATATACATGTTTTACAAGGTACAGAAGATTTTAATCT